TCCGGGCACCTGGGTTTTAAAAGGAGCTCACTTCAGTTTGTGGTGCGAGTGTGAGGAGCTGGGAGCAAGAGGCGCAAGGAACTGAGAGTGAGAGGGTGTGCTGCTGGAGGACTGAGGAGCACAAGCGTTATCAGACACCAGGAGGAAAGTCCTGTGGTGAGACTAAGGAAGATGTTTGGAGGAGGCCATGGGGAAGTAGCCCAGGGAGTTGTAGCTGTCATGCAGCTGTTACAGGAGGCACTATAGACAGCTGCAGTCCACAGGGCCCTGGGCTGGAACCCGGAGTAGAGGGCGGGCCTGTGTTCCCCCCAAACCTCCCAATTGACCTGGACTGTGGGTTCTTCCAAAGGGGAAGGTCTCTGGGCTGTTCCCCAACGCACATGGTGAATCTGAGGCAAGAAAATCTGTCAATAAGTGCAGGACCCACCAAGATAGAGGAGGAACTTTGTCACAATACCTATAGAAGTGTTCCTCAGGAAACTATTGGTTTTGCCTGCCTTTGATCTCCAGTATAGGAGGCAAGTGAGGGGGCCCCACAATTTGAGTCAAGGATCGAGGGAGGGCAGTGCTGAGGAAAGCGGACATCCAGTAGGGGAGTATGTCACCTGTTTTCAGGAGAATTTACTGTGAATGGTGGATTCAGTGCAACAGAACCTTCAAAGAAATCAGGAAACCCAGAACGGTTGATGCTTATAGCAGTGTCATATCTAAGACACAGAGGGTAATTGTTCCATTCTCCCAGCACTGGTGAGGTCTCAGTTGGAGTACTGTGTCCAGTTCTGGGTACCACACGTTAGGGGAGATGTAGAGAAATTGGAGAGAATCCAGAGGAGAGCAACAAAAAATAATCAAAGGTTTAGAAAACGTGAGCTAAAAGGAAAGGTGAAAAAAAATGAGTATGTTTAGTCTAGAGAAGGGGAGGCTGACAGGGGACCTCAGAACAATCTCCCAATATGTTATAAAGTGGACAGGGGTCAGTGGTTCTCCATGTCCACTGAAGGCAGGAAAAAAAGTGATGGACTTAATCTGCAGCAAGGGAGATTGAGGTTAGTTGTTAGGAAAAACTTTCTAACCCTAAATGGAGTTAATGTCTAGAATCCGATCACAAGAGAGGTTGTGCGATCCCCATCAATGGAGGGTTTTAAGACCAGATTGGACAAACACCTATCAGGGATAGCTTAGGTTGACGTAGTCCTGCCTTACAACAGGGGGCTGAATCAGGTAACCTCTCCAGTTCCCTTCCACCCTGATATCTCTTTGGTTCTAGTCTATGAAATGTACTCTGAGGTTAAATCCTCTGAGCTTCCTTCCTCTCCACTGCCCATTATCTGGAACCCAGACAGGCAGGGGGCCAGGCAGATATGAAACATCAAACCGAGAAAACAAACCTGGTCTTGAAAAGTTACTGAGAATCAGAAGTAAAAGGAAATGACTCACAAATGGGGAGCAAAAAAATGACAAATTAACAGACAAAGATGTAGACTTCTAATAGTCTTGCTGGTGTGGGCCTGAGGTGGTGTGTGTGGCGGGGGGAGGGGATGCGGGGTCAGATTCCCCCCAGCCCCAGATTTAACGAACTGTCATGCATTGCATCCCCTTCCTGTCAGTTCTTTCTCTGCTTCCACAAGCTGCTTTCTGGGGCCGAGAGTCGTAGGTGCATGAGAGATTCAAACGTCTGGACATCCAAGGTCACATTTCCTAGTGGTCAGCCTTGTGTGGGGCATTTGCTCTTTCCTCAACCATGTCTGCCATGGGGCAGGTTCACAGGAACACGGCTCCTGTGCCGGCTTTTCATGGCCTTCCCCATTGCCCATCCGCATGGTATCTGTGCTGCCCCAGGTCCACCACCTTGAGGGATACATGCTCCCCAGCTTCTGGGACAACGTCCGCCCTGGGCTCTGTGGCTGGGCTCCAGGAAACCACAGCAGGACCCTGTCTTTAGCTTGCTGCTCTGAAAGACCCACTGAGGAGGAAGTGGGGAGCTGAGCCAAGCCAGGGGATGACTCAGCGTCGGCCACACTCCCCACCAGTTGAGCTTGGTGCCAGGTGTGCTGGGCTCTAGGCAAACCCCAGGGGGCCCTGATCCCAGATGCTCTGGGAGAGGGGGCAGAGATGCCCTGACCCCGAGTGACATTCACCTGGGCTCCTTTCCCCAGAGGGAGGTTGTGATTTAAACTTGGCTGATAGCATTGGAAATTTCCCAGGGGCCAGCTAACCCCACAGAACCAGTGGTGGGTTAACCCATAGAAGTGCCTGCCTATGGGGAGGGGGGGGAGGTTGCCCGGGGTTAAAGCAAATGGTGCAGTCTCGCAGTTCCTAAATCCTACATCCTTCTGGTGGTCAGAGACTCTCATTTCCACCTCAATCTATCCCTGCCCAGTTTATCCCCATTTGTCCTTGTGACAACATTGTCCTACAGCTTCACTAGCTCTTCCCCTGCCCTTGTGTCCCCTCCACCCTGATCTCTTTACATTGATTGTCTAGATTTGGTTTCATGCCCAGAGACCCATGTGTTTTGAGACTTGTTCTGAACTGGTCTCAAGAGGCTTTTATTTTTCCATGGGAAATTTGACTTTTCGTTGAAAGCCCCCAAAGTTCGGGTTTTTTTTTCTATTCACTTTTTATTAATTTTTTTAAAAGACAGAGAGAGAAAGTGAGAAAACAAACAACAAAATATACATAAACACCTCATAATACCAAAACTTCTCATAAGATATTAAGTATTTGCTACTCACCTTAGCTAGGCTTGACATGTTATCTGTAATATGAATGGTTAGAATATCAATCCCTCACTGTATTCCACAATTTACAAACACAATTTGCTTATAAAAATCCCACTAAAGAAAAATTAGTAAAGGAAGAAAATGACTAGAAGCAAAACTCAGAGAAGGGGGATAGAGATGGGGAGTGGGAAGGGAAAGGAAGTGGATAGAGAAGAAGAGGAGGTGAGGGGGGGGGCATGCATTTGGTCAGATCATTTGGATATTTCCAGGAAAGCATCTCATATCTCTAACAACTTTTCTTGGGTATCTCTGTAACAGTTTAGTGGGTTAGCGATTGTCCCTCCCCCTCTGGCTCACTATGCCACTGGGGCACCACCCAGTATTGGGGAGTTAGCGAATCAGATGTCCGGACCCGAGGCCCGTTTAGTGGGGTAGGGCTGAGTCACCAAGTAGGCTTGGTGGTGCTGAACCTCAGGCCTGGCATAGCAACAAACAGGCCATTCATCCTAAAGTGGTGAGGTTGCCACCCCAGGCAACAGGAGTAGGGAGGACCCGGGCCCACCCTACTCCACTGGGTCACAGCCCAGGGCTCTAACAATGGCGGATGAGTCAGTGGGGATCCCACCACAACACACTGACTGAGGTTCTGACAGACAAACTGCACCAGCATCTGTTTTCCCTCAGCTACTTCTTACCACAGTCTGAGCAAGGGGTTCCGTAGTCCAGGGGTCCTCTGTCTCTTCGAGGTATTAACCTGCCAGCAATCCTGGTCAGTCCCCTCCACTCTCAGCTTCCTCTGGAGTTAGGGTGATCCTTGACTCAGCAGCAGAACCTGGGGCCTGCAGCAGGCCCCGGACATCTGTCTCCTTCCCTGGCTCAGGCTCAACTGGGCTAGAGGCCCTTCTTATACTTCCTTAGCCACTCCACCACATTACACACAGTCTACCATTCTTTACATGGTGGCCATGTTTAGGGTGTCTATGGTCCAATCTTTGATTGTTGGTCGCTTTTTGGTTTTCTGTTTTTGTGGAACAAGTCTTTCCATCACTGTTAGTGCTCTGCTTAGCCAGAGACTTTCAGATTTGTTCTGCTTCCAATTAAAACCCATTAGATTGAAAAATATATGTTTAATTTTATTTGAATGGAAAAAAAAAACCCTCTCCAATTCAGTTCCGCCCAAAGCAGCTACGTGCGTTTCCAGAGCGTAAGGGTTATGTCAGCATCTGTCGCATTACAGCACCAATATTTGTCTGTCTTAGCAGCATCTGTTTTGAAAGACTGAAGAGTGGTCTAATACATCCTCCATATTCCTGTGGAATTAATCTTAAATGTAGGTCCAAGGAGGAGTTCAGAGCACTGGCTAAAATTTGTTTCCATTTGGTTAGCAGAAAATAATTGGCCTACTTCCTCGTCCCAATGCTTTAGGGGAACAGTGTTTAGTTCAAATTTGCTGGCCAGGTGTGCATATAATGTTGCCTTAGTTCTTGGAAATTTGACAAACATTTGGAGAAACAAAAGCAGTAATGGGTCAGGGGTAGGGAAGGAAGCAGGGATAAACAGATGGTAGACTACATTTTCATTGTTACAGACCTTGCCATTCCTTCTTACTCTCTCACGTACAGCTGGTCAATAGGGGGACCGTGGACCACATCTGGACTGCCGGACACTTTTGAATGGAACCCAAAATATTTTTATTTAATTATTATTATAATTATTGTTGGCTTTTTAGTATTATGTTCTGTGGAGTCTATCCTTGATTATACCTGACCAAGAAATTTGGACCTTGACAAAAAATAATTAACTATCCCTGCTCTGGCAAAATTGACGACCAAAAATTTACAAATATTTAGCTGAAAAGTGCCAAAAACTGGGGGAAATAATCAGATTTTGAAGTAAAATGCCCAAATGTTGAGGAGAGGAGGTGTGTTCTAAGAAACTGGCTGACTTTGCCTCCCAAATCCATTAACTCAAGGCAGAGCAATTACTGACCCACTCCCAGTGTGTTTTACACTGATTTGCCACCCAGAGAGGTTAGAGCTGTAGATTTACCCTCCTGCCCCCTGGGGTGTCTAGTCTGGGGCAGAGCACACAGGTAGCAGGGTTCCAGGTACAGGGATCCCCCCCAGGAAAGCATCAGATTGGATGGGTTGAGGTTGTGGCAACTCCCCTTCAGGATAGGGAGCTCAGTCCCAGCCAGGCCCAGTGAGAAAATAGGTCCCTTTATATGAACCTGGTCTCCCACCAGGTGAGATCATCGCGGGCTGGGAAGCTCAGCCCCACTCCAGACTCTACATGGCTTTTCTGATTATACAACGCGGAAACGAGACGTTTCGCTGTGGAGGGTTCCTGGTGGCGGAGAACTTCGTGCTGACGGCTGCTCACTGCAATGGAGAGTAAGTGCCTCTGTGCTGGGGATGTCGGGGCAGGTCGGGGTTAGCGGGTGATGAGGGAGCCGGGAGCTCTGGCACCATAGTAGATGCAGTGAAGGAGCAGTTAGTGCGACAGGCTGGGAGAGCAAAGCCCAGAGTCTGATCTGCTCAGGGAGCGTTGGCCTGTCTCTAGGGGCCTCTGCAAACCATGGTCCAGCACCAATGTTGGGTAAATCAATAGAGCTACGGCCAGTGAGAGCAGCTGGGGTCTCGTCCATTGCCCAGATTGGGCCAGTGAGGTTCTCACAGCCCCAGGAAAGCTCTGCAAATCTTTGGGTTGGGGGGTCTGGGCATGGACCCCTGTCTGGATCTAGCTGGGAGGGGTCACAGGGATAAGGGAAGCTGAGAACCAGGGGCTGGGAGGACAATAGGGAGTGAAGCCGCTTGTGGGACAGCACAAGGGCTGGTGAAGACATAGGCTGGGACCCCAACACCTCTTTGCAGATGCTTATTGCTGGAGCCAGTGCCCGCCGTAGGGGAAAGACCCTTGTGGCATGCCCCAGCCCACCTGAGCAAGCCAGTCTCTCTCCCAAGATGGATCGAAGACAGCCCTGCTAGAGGGGAAAAGGCCTCATCTCCCATTCCCCAGACAGTCAGTCTCCAGTCCTGGGTCTGGATCAGAGACAGCAATGTGTCAATGGGTATTTTACATTTTTACTGGCTGGGAGCTGAGTCTGAAATCATTTCTTTAGACCCCAGCAACTCACATGTTGCTCTTGGCTTTTGCAGCAAGATCATTGTCGTCCTGGGAGCCCACAACATTACCCAACAGGAACAGAGCCAACAAGTGATTCCTGTGAGACGCCCATACCCCCACCAGGATTATGACAAGGAGGCGCCCCGTAATAACGACATCATGCTGCTGCAGGTACAGCCCCTATCCCCCCCCCCCCGACGATCTCACACTGCTGCAGGTACTGCCCCCATCCCATCACTCCACCTCCAGTGACCTCACACTGCTATAGGTACTGTTCCCATCCCATCACCCTTCCCCCTGTGACCTCAAATCAGAATAATAGAATCACAGAAGATTAGAGTTGGAAGAGACCTCAGGAGGTCATCTAGTTCAATCCCCTGCTCAAAGCAGGACCAACCCCGTCTAAATCATCCCAGCCAGGGCTTTGTCAAGCCAGGCCTTAAAAACCTCTAAGGATGGAGATTCCACCACCTCCATAAGTAACCCATTCCAGTGCTTCACCACCCTCCTAGTGAAACAGTGTTTCCTAATATCCAACCTAGACGTCCCCCACTGCAACTTGCGAACATTGCTCCTTGTTCTGTCAACTGCCAGCACTGAGAACAGCCGAGTTACATCTTTTTGTAACCCCCCCTTCAGGGAGTTGAAGACTGCTATCAAATCCCCCTTGACTCTTCTCTTCTGCAGACTAAATAACCCCAGTTCCCTCAGCCTCTCCTCCTAAGTCATGTGCCCCAGCCCCCTGATCATTTGTTGCCCTCCGCTGGACTCTCTCCAATTTGTCTACATCCTTTCTGTAGTGGGGGGGGCTCAAAACTGGACACAGTACTCCGGGTGTGGCCTCACTAGTGCCAAATAGAGGGGAATAATCACTTCCCTTTGGGGTGGATTTACCATGAAACACAGTGCCCTGGCACCAGGCCCCCAACAGGGGACCCTAGGGCCGGGCATGCAGGCAGCTCAGCTCTGGTGCACCCCCGGCGGAGGGGCTGCTCCACAGGAGAGGTGTAGAAGCTGTGGGAAGCAGGGAGGGAGGCTCACCCACAGCCTCAGGGGAGAAGGCAAGAGGTGCGTGTGGTGGGAGCACTGTGAACACTGGCCAGAGGATGCAGGAGGAGCACAGGGCAGCCGCGCAGCCGGTCAGACAGAAGCAGTGCTTTGAAAGAGAAACTGTTGCTTCTCTCCAGATGCGTGGCTGCCCCTGCTCCTCCTGAGTCCTCCAGCTCTCAGGGCCAGATCTAGAAAGGGGGCAGAGCTTTAGGGACTGCAGCCCATGACTCTGGGGCTGTCAGGGTTCCTTCCCAACTCTGAACTCTGGGGTACAGATGTGGGGACCCACATGAAAGACCCCTTAAGCTTATATCCCACCAGCTTGGGCTAAAAACTTCCCCAAGGCACAAATTCCTTTCCTTGTCCTTGGACGGTATTGCTGGTACCACGAAGTGATGTAAACAAACATTCAGGGAGGGGCCCCTTGGAGCCCTATCCCCCCCCCAAAATATCCCAAGTCCCTTCACCCCCTTTCCTGGGGAGGCTTGAGACTAATATATCAACCAAATAGGATAACAAGGTGAGCACAGACCAGTCCCTTGGGTTTTTAGGACACTAAAAACCAATCAAGTTCTTAAAAGAAGAACTTTATTATAAAAAAAAAAAACCAAGTAAAAGAAGCACCTCTGTAAAACACAGAGGATTCTCCTCTAGGCTCAACTTCAAAGTTACAAAACAGGGATAAACCTTCCTCTTGGCATAGGAAAAATTCACAAGCTAAAACAAAAGATAATCTAACGCATTTCCTTGCTATTACTTATAATTTCTGTAATTTTAGATGTATCATTTCAGTAGGACCTCGATTACCTGCTTGGTCTTTTTCTTTGTTTCAAGAGAGAACACACAGACAGCACAAACAAACCTCCCCCCACCTCAAATTTGAAAGTATTTTCTTTCCCCATTGGTCCTTCTGGTCAGGTGACAACTAGGTTAATTGAACTGATTAACCCCTTACAGGTTAGTGATTCTGTAGCTCTGGCCAAGAGGGATTTTATATTACTGCATACATAAAGGTTGTTACCCTTCCCTTTACATTTATGACAGGGGCCCACTTAGCCCTAGGCTCTAGGCTGCAGCCTCTAAAGCCCTTACGTTCCAGCCCTGCCTGGAGGGGGGAGGAGGGCAGGTGGCTCTGAGAATCACGGAAAATGGGAGCTGCGGGGGGCAGTACATGCAGGGCAAGCACAGGGCCATGCAGAGCCACCTGAACTCCCTGCACCTCCCACACCAAATGGGAGCTGCCCCACACCCCAACCCCCTGCCCCAGCCCTGAATCCCCTCATGCACTCTAACTCCTGGCCAGATGCCTCATGCTCATCCTCTTCCTGCACTCTAACTTCCTCTCAGACCCTGCACCCCTGGCCCCAGCCCGCTCCCGCACCCTAACTCCCTCCCAGATTCTGCACCCCCAGCCCTGAGCCCCAGGAGGAGAATGCATGTGGGGGGGATGAAAAACAGGAGTGGGAGGACATGAGAGAGTGCTCACCCTGTGGAGGGGGCAGGGCCGGCTCTAGGCACCAGCAAACCAAGCACTTGCTTGGGGCAGCACATTTTCAGGGTCGGCATTCCGGCCTTTTTTTTTTTTTGCTTCCGGCGGCAAAAGACTAGAGCTGGGCCTGGCAGCAGCAGCACCTCATGCGCTGGGGCACCCTGGGGCCGCTGCAGTTTGCGCCATGGGGGAGCAGTGCTGCACCTTGTAGCTGGGCCGGGCAGGCTCCGAGTGGGGGAACTCAGGCTGGTGGCCACCGCGCGGGGCACACGGAGCTGCCTGCAGGTGCCGCAGGGCGGCCGCCCCCCAGTGCCACAGCCGGAGCTGGGCGAAGCAGCCCGAGCCACCCAGGGACTGCGGCAGGGCGGCCAGAAGCAGCAGCAGCAGCGGAGCCATAGAGGGTGGGGCGCTGCCGTGCGGGGCCCACGTCCCGCTCTCTGGGGCTCTGCTTCCTCTGGGGCTGCCCTGTCCCGGCTCCGTAGCCCCCTGCTGGGGCGATCCCCCAGCTCTGCCCTCCTGGTCCCGGCCGGTCCTGGAGGCGGGAACCCTGGCTGGAGGGACCCTGGGCTGAGGTGCGGCCCAGGAGCCCCGCTGCTTACCCCAATCCTGCCAGAGCTGGACTGGCTGGAGGCAAGGAGGGAGCATCGGAGTCAGCACTGGTGGGGGGGTTAGCCCAGGGCTCGGGCAGCAGGGGGTGCAGGTGGGGGGGGGGGTGGAGAGAGCCCAGAATTGGGGTAGCAGGGGGTGGTGGGTGGGGGAGGGCACGTGGT